TATACTTTATACAGTGAATAACAGGTATGTTGACGAGGAGCTCGGGAAGCCATTCAGCCTGATCGTATTGGTCCGAAAATTTAACAAATAATATATTGTGTAATTTGGTAATGTTCGCATGTTGGAATGTGCAATCGTAAATTACTAAAATTCTTAATTTTGTGTATTTTCCGCTTAAATCTTATACTAAAGACGCCATTTTGGATTAATTTCTAAGTACCCAACGCGCATGCTTTAACTCCACAGTGTATGAAATTTCTAGCCATGATATATGCGAGTGTTTCCACGTTATTTCGAATTCTCCCAAACTATATTAGCACAAGTGTTTCTATAATTACTGTATAGAAACACAGAAAAATATGTTTTCTACTTCCTTTATTAAATAACCTTGTGATAATAACACAAAAACAATATTTTTAACGCGATTAAAAAGTATATTCTTATTACAAAATAACAAGAAAATGTTGCCTAGCAACAATACCGGCATCAATTTTCAGTTTTGCCGACTGCAAAATTATGGAAAATAACACGCTGAAAAAGTTGATTTAAAGAAAATTTAAAGCGAAAAACGTTTGGTAAGTGTTTTCCATTGCTTGTTTAACAAAATTTCAGGTTGACGAAGATTTTTAATCGATATTTCAGGCGAAATATTATTAATATATATATATATATATATATATATATATATATATATATATATATATATATATATATATATATATATATATATATATATATATATATATATATATATATATATATATATATATAGCGGGTTTTTTTTAGTTGTTTTCAGACGAGTGTATACCAAACCGGGCAAGCAGAAAATTCTACTTGACCGCGGCTGGGATTCGAACCCGCGACCTTCGCATTTCTAGAACGATGCTCTACCTTCTGAGCTACAAGGTCAAGCTGAGAACGACTTGTTAAGTTATATATATATATATATATATATATATAGCCAGCTATTTCAATTAAGGTTGTCCACGAGCAAAGCGGAAAAGTCGAATATGAGCGCGAAAAGCCGCTGGGAATCGTTAACAAATTAATGAATTTTGGCAAAGCGATTCCCAGCAGGTTTTCGCGCTCGTATTCGACTTTTCCGCTTTGCTCGTGGGCAACCTTAATTGAAATAACTGTATATAAATTTCCAATCGGTAATTTCAATCTACAACATACCAATCTACTACATTTCAATCTACAACATACATTTAAAGAAAATTTAAAGCGAAAAACGTTTGGTAAGTGTTTTCCATTGCTTGTTTAACAAAATTTCAGGTTGACGAAGATTTTTAATCGATATTTCAGGCGAAATATTAATAATATATATATATATATATATATATATATAGCCAGCTATTTCAATTAAGGTTGTCCACGAGCAAAGCGGAAAAGTCGAATATGAGCGCGAAAAGCCGCTGGGAATCGTTAACAAATTAATGAATTTTGGCAAAGCGATTCCCAGCAGGTTTTCGCGCTCGTATTCGACTTTTCCGCTTTGCTCGTGGGCAACCTTAATTGAAATAACTGTATATAAATTTCCAATCGGTAATTTCAATCTACAACATAC